AAGCCAGCAGCCTCATAATGACTTATTTCCACAGTGGGGATAGTTTTCAAGAGATACCATGGAAAAACCGTTAAGCCTGATGATAACCAGTGCCCAATTAGCATACATTTGCATAAATTTGCATACATTGGACATGGTAAAAGGTACAATACAGGAAGAGCATCCTGACAACAGATGTGAACGAGGTGGCGAAGCTTTATCCTCGTTTTGGCCGACGTTATTATGATTCACAGATAGAGAACTGATTACAGATGACAGCTTACAAAAAATTTAAGTAAGGGAAAACCAAAGTGAAACATGGAATAGTACGAAAAATTAAAGTCGGTGCCCAAGCAATAGTTCTGTCTCAAAGAAAAGCCGAATAGAGAACACCGCTATTGGCCAACATCTTGCTGATTGCTACCAGTCGATCTGCAAAAAGACACATAAAATTCCCACCATGGCATCTTCAAATGTCTTAAAATCTAAGATTTTTAGTGCTGTGGCGTGTCACCTCACAGACCTCAGCTCAGTAGATAGGACAAAAAGATGGGAGAATAAAATCAGGCCCAACATGCTAGATTTTACTGAGGAGCGATTTATTTACTTATTTTGGCTGGCCTCCCTCCCTGCTCCCTGGTTCTGCTGGAGATTCCTTCCCGTTAAAAGGGAGTTTTTCCTTCCCACTGTTGCCACTCGCTTGCTCAAAGTGGATCCTCTGATTGTTGGGCTTTTCTCTGTGTTATTGTACGGCCTTTTCCTTACTATTTAAAGCACCTTGAGGTGACTTGTTATAATTTGATGCTGAAAAAATAAAATTGAATTGAATTGCATTTCACTTGAATTTAATACAAATAGTTTATTAATATATTTATTAATAATTATTAATATAATGGTATTAATGGCATTTAATTTTAATTGTCAGAAATGACAATAAGTATGGACACTTCAGTTTCATGACTATTGATTATTATTACCAAGTCTGCCTAATTTACATGCGTATTAAGTATTATTATAATAATAAGATATATAACCCCTCTCTTATACTACTAGTCCCCCCTCTCTTGCCTTCCTCTTTAATGTCACACTCTCTCTTCAGTTTATCATCTTATAGAGTTGTGAAAGTTACC